AGCAGGTGCCTGTGAGTGTTTAGGAAATGAACAACCAAGTGAAAGTAGACGTACAGTGGGAGAGGAGGGTCTTGCTCTGTGGAGAGCCATGGTTGGTTCTTAAGCGGCGGAGTTCCTCCACTCCCCTATTACCCAGTCTCTCAGGCTTGACTCATTCCTGGTCCAGGATGAGTAGCTAGAGTCCCCCGCATGGAGGGTGGGCAGCCTGGTTCGTGGAGAGCCATGGTTGGTTCTTAAGCGGCGGAGTTCCTCCACTCCCCTATTACCCAGTCTCCCAGGCTTGACTCATTCCTGGTCCAGGATGAGTAGCTAGAGTCCCCCGCATGGAGGGTGGGCAGCCTGGTTGCTGCTGGGCAGCTCCTGGTCCCTCTACTCTGGTACCCTGTCACTGTCATTGCTGCTCCCCAGAGGAGAGTCCTGAGCACTGGAGTGAGGGAGGGGGATCTGCCTCAGATTTCTTGGGGCCCACATGCCCTCTCCTCTCCCCCTGCCTGAGGGGAGCCTCCTGGTGTTGATATGGCTTCCTGGTGAGTGCCCAGGCTCCCTGCCCCAGTGTGTAGGAGGGGACTCTTGCCATGGCTGGACTGTAGGCAGGGAAGGGTGCTCCACATCTCACAGGGAATCTAGGGCCAAGGGTCCACCTCCTCTCACTGCACCATTGTATGTATAGCATCCTCCTTGGTCTCTCTCCCTCCATACTCCCCAGTCCTGTCCATCTTCCATGTGACTCCATCTTTGTAAAGGTCAACTCTGACCATGCCCTCCCCCTCTTAAGCCCTGCTATGGTTCCTCATTGTTCTCAGCCTGGCATTTGAGCCCTTTCATGAGAGTTCCTCAGGCTCCCACTCATTCCATGATACCTAACCCTCCCTGGCAGCCACATGTGACCTCCTTGCATTTCCCTGACAGGCTACACTCTCACACCACTGAGTCTTTGCACATGCGTCTTCTGCTGCCTTCAGTGCCCTCCTACCTCTTTGTCCACCTGACAAATTCCTAATCATCTGTCAAGTCCCAGCTCAAATGACCCCTCTTCTGGGAAGCTCTCCCTGACCTCCCCAGGCTGGGTAGGAGTTCTCTGGCCCTGGGTTTCCCTTGGTCATGGCTTAATCATCCAAGTGGTCTTGGTCCATGTCTGTGTCTTTCTCCCCAGCCAGACTGAACACTCCTCAAGGGTCCAACAGAGTGTGATCTGACTCTGGGTTTGCAGGGCCCCTCTAAGGCCAGGCATATATGAGCACTGGCAAGCATTTGCTGGGACTTTGTGTCTCCTGGGAATGTGGCTTCTAATTGCATTACTCTGAGAGTCCAGACTCCTGTGGTTCTGAGCATCTCAAAACCAAAGGTATCAAAAGTAAGGAGTAATAGAATTGAAGAAACATTTAGCATTCACTCCCAGAACCAGGACTGTTGGAATTGGACTCTGAGAACCAGTGAACTCAGAATTGTGGAAGCACTCAGAGTGAGACAATCTCAGAATTCCAGACTCACATGTATCCTGTTCTAGGCTTTTGTCCATTTTTCCACCTCAGGTTTTTCAGTCTTCCTTTTTCCTCCCACGCTGGACCCTTCCTGCCCCTCCTCAAATCTGACACAGCTCTTCTTCCAGAAGCCTTCCCTGATTGCTCTGACCATGACTTCCGCCCCACTGCTGGGGACACCTGGGAGGGCCCCCCTGCTGAGAAGCATCATGTACTCCTGGATTTTAGTGTCCCTCTGTCCTGATGGGCAGACGCAGCCTCCACATCAGGAAACTGCACAATTTGCTAGCACCATGGAGCACCCACCCTACCCTTGTCTTATTCATTCCTCATGACCTGTCCTGTGTAGTGGTGATTCACTCCTTCTGACTAGTGAAGAACCTGAGGCTCAGAGAGGGGGACTGATTTGACCAATGTTGCACAGCTTGGTTGGTTTCAAATTGGAGCCTGAACCCAGGGTCCTTGCCTCTTAAGTCTGGCTGGAGGCATGTGGATGTGATAGATTAGGGTAGAGTCCAGGGCCTTGTAGTTGTGAACCTGTTCAGATCAATGTGTCTCTATAACTCTGTACTGGACTGTGCTGGGTGGTTTGAGTGGTTTGGAGTGCCCTGGGTTGGGGTGGGGGTGCTCAACCCCCACTAAAAATAATTGGAACACCAGACCTCGAGTAAGACCCTTGCTCCTTAGGGGTCTCAGTTGCCTGATCTGTAAGCCTGGCTAATCTGAGACCCACCCACTCAGATGCTTGAGTTCAGCCTCAGCGAGTAGCCCCCACAGCCAAGATCCTAGGGGCTCCCAAGAGGAAGAAAGCCTCTGGGCTGGGGCTACAGAGCCCAAAGGGCTCCTGAAGGTGAGGCCTCACACTGCAGCAACTGCACCAACTGATAACATCTGAAGTTACCTCTCAGCTGTTTCCCCAGACCAGCCTCAGCACTCATGGTGCAGAAGCATGTCAGGCGAGTCTGGGGGGCCTGCTGGTCTTTGGCTTCTTGGAGGACATTTGGGAGGGGACAGGGCGTGATTTCTAAGCTCCTGAGCCTGTGCAACCCAGGCTTGCCCTCTCCAGTCCCCTTAAGCCTCAGGGATGATTAACAGTTCTCCAAACACACCGTGTCATCTCTTGCCCTGTTTTTTGCTCACTGCACTCTCCTCTCTTCTGCACTCACCTGACTCCTACTTATCTTTCAGAATGCAGGTCAGGTGTCCTCTCCTCCAAGAAGCCTTCCCTGACCTTTCCTTTAGGCGCCTCCTTGGCTTCTTTCAGGCCTGATTACCTTGAGCTGTCATTGTCTGTTTTGAGGTGTGCCTCCCCCCACCTTGACAGTGAGATCCTTGAGATCAGGGAAGGATCTGACCTACCTCGGAGCCTCTAAGTGCCCTTCACAGGGACAGGCATTGATATGGTAACCTCAGTGAGGGTGAGTGAGTGAAGGATAGTGGCGGGTGTCTGGCTCCTGCTGGGGGTTCCCCGGACTGCCTTCCCCTAAGGATGGCCTTCAGTGTAGGAAACTTGATCTATGGTCAGTCTGACTGTGACCTTGCTGCCTGTAGCCCCTGCCCATAATTCCTGTGGGGTTTCCTGCCCCCCTTGTCTTCCCAGGATACTCCCATCCTCCCTGCCTTTTACACCTGCTAAAATCTTATCTCTTTTAATTATTTCACAAAATGAATCTAAATCATCTCATTTAACTATCTCAACAGCCCACTGAGGCAGGAAGTTGAGATGTGGGTTTTGGAGTTAAGAGACTTGTTCAGGTCCTACAGCTGGGAACGGCAGAAGTGGGATTTCCCACCTGCCCAGTGCCCTATCCTGCTCCCTAGATGGTGTTCTGGGTCCAGGTCCCCTGTTTCCCCTCAAGTATCCCACCTCTGGCAGAGACAGGCAGCAGGGGTCCCCAGAGTAATGACAGGACACTCTCCCCTGCCAGGCTGGATGGGGTCTGCCAGCCATGCTGGTGACACATTCCAGAGCCACTCTAGCAAAGGAGCTGGAATGTCATCCAACCACTCTGGAAATTCTGCAGCCAGCCTGGGAACTGACCCAGACCCTCCTCTTGGCTTTGGGCTTACTAGCCTAGGAACACAGAGAGGAATACCCAGATTGGGGTAGGGACAGAGCCACGTGGTCTGGATGCTAGGCTTGGCTCTGCCCTTGACTCACTGGTGGCCGTGGGTGAGACCTTGAGCCACCCCTTTCTGGCCTTAGTTTTCTCGCTGGGAGATGGGTACAATAACCGTCATGGCTGCTTTGCGCTGGGGAAATACTAAGAAGAGTAGATCCTGGGCTCTGCCAGTTCGATGCAACTATGGTGGAGAACTGACCAGATTGAGACCTTGAGCCACCCCTTTCTGGCCTTAGTTTTCTCGCTGGGAGATGGGTACAATAACCATCATGGCTGCTTTGCGCTGGGGAAATACTAAGAAGAGTAGATCCTGGGCTCTGCCAGTTCGATGCAACTATGGTGGAGAACTGACCAGATGGGCAGAGCTCCAGGGCTCAAAGAGGGATTGTCTGGGAGCTTCCTAGGGAGAGGGCCTGGCTTTACATGGTAGGAGGTAGTGGTCAGGGGCACAACCTTGGAAGCCAGACAGACCAGAGCTGCTCTGCCATTTGCTAGCTCTGTGACCCTGGGGTGGTTATTTAGCAATTCTGAGTTTCTCAGGATTAAATGAGAAGAGGTAAATGAGGCCACCTAACACAGAACTTGGTATAGAGACAGTGCTCAAGTCTTGTTATGACATAGGTGTTAGAAGATAAGGGAGGCTGTCCCTGAGCAAAGGTGTGACCATGGGACTGCTTTCGCTGTGCTTGAGACAGAAAGATGAGAATGGAGACAGAGAGCGTGTGGGTTTTCTGGAGGGGTGGCAGGGACCAGATCAGCTAGGGCTTTGAGTGCCAGGTGAAGAGCTTGGACATTAGTCTGAGGACACTAGGGAGCCATGGAAGAGTTTTGAACTTGACAATATGTGGTCAGATTTGTGTTTTAGAAAGACTACGTGACTGCAGTGTGAAGGCTGGACAGGTGGCGTAGGGGAGGAAAAAGGAGTCCAGTGAGGAGGCTGGCACAGTGGTCTCCAAGAGAAGCCGCTTAAGGCTTCGGGTGGGGACCATGTGGTGTGTGTCCGAGCAATGTCATTGGTTGAACTGACAAGACTTGGTAAGTGATGGGCTTCAAGTGGGGTGGGGAAGAGAGAGGTTGTCAAGGCTGTATCGGAGGTTTGAGAGCTGGAAGGATGGTGGAGGCCCTTCTCAGAAATAGGAGAGTGACTTTGAGAAAGTGATGTGCCTTACCTTCGCTTGTGGAGTCAAGACATCTCCTAAGGAGGAGAAGACCGGGTATGTGCCTGGGTGGAGCAGGGTGAAAAGGTAACGTTCTTTCACCTTGTCACTAAACATCAGAGTAGACTGGCAAATAGCTACCAGGCCACTGGCCCATGTCAGCCTGAGATGGCTGGGGAAGGTGCAGTAAGTAAACAGTGGCTCAGAGGCGTTTCCCACGGCCCCCACCCCGCCCCTTCCTACAGCCACCCTTCTCCTGTCCCCACATCCCCCTACCCCTGCACTGTACTTCTAACTTGGGGACCTAGCCTCAGTTGTCTCAGACCGCACTCCCCCATATAGGGAAGTGAAGCAGATGGAAAAAGATAGTTCAGGGGAGGATATTCTTTTTCTCCTGTGATGCCTCTGAGGTTTGGTGGCTGCTGGGACCTGCCCATACAGAGGGCTCCCTCCACAAGGCAACCATCCCCTCACTGAAGCCCTGTGCTTGGTGCATGTGAGAGGCTTCCAGGCTAGACAGAAACCAGGGCCAGAATTCAGAAGGCCTGGGCCTTCTTCTTCTTGGCTCTGTCCCTGACTTACTGTGAGGCCTTTGGCCTCAGTTTCCTCCTCTGTCAAACGGGGCTTTGGCGCAGGTGATTTCTAATGGTTGTTCCATGCTCTGATTGTCTAGACTGTGTGTATCAGTGTGTGTGCAATGCATGTACATCTGAGTGTGACTGTGTATACCTCCATATATCTGTGTATCTAGATGTGCCTGCATGTGTTCAGGAGTGGTGTGTGTGTGTTTATAACACCTATGGAGGAACGCTTAGAGGTGGGAGTGGGGAGGAGGGGTGTTCTAGATAGAGACCTAGCTTGGACAAAAGTGTATTGGCAGGAGTACTATAGAGTGTGTACTGGGCAAGGAGGGCATTGACCGTTTCCTGCTGTGGAGCTGAAGCATAGCACCAGGCCCCAGCAAGGGGACACTGAGGGCTTGGCTCAGCTCTGCAGAACATGGGGAAGACCACCCTCCCCCAGAGCCACCCTCCTGAAAGGGGGTGCCTAGGGAAGGAGGCTGAGAACAAACCATCCCTGGAGCTTGTGAGCTGGGGTGGATGATCAGGAGTGTGGGTGCTTGGAGGGCACTCCAATCAGGACGGGCACACCAGGTCACCTCTCTGCCTCTTTTGGGCCAAGGTCAGAGCAAAGGAGGCAGCCCTGGGAGGGCTTGGCCTGGCTGGCTTCCATGACCCTGAGCCCACGCTGTCTCCACCTCCCTGTGTCTGTAGGAGCCCCCTGCGGCACTGCCTGCCCTGAAAAATGCTGGAGGCTGGGTGCGGCCCCAGGCTGGGGGACCTGTTTTTCCTGTTTCCTGAAGAGTTGCCTGCAGCCTGGTCCAGGCATGTGCATGCATGAGCGAGAAACCTGAGCCAGTGCTGAGCATCCCGACAGCAAGAGCAGGGCCTGGCCAGGTACTGGGGTGCAAGGGTGACCCGCTGACTGGGAGGTGCAGCAGGCATGTGATTGTCGTGTATGTGTATATGCTGAACTGGGGGTAGATCAAGGGGATCCAAGGGCGGGTGGTCTGCCTTGCTTCCTTATCCCAGGCTGTGATGAATCCAGGCTCTGGACCCAGACAGCTCTGGCTGTCAAGCCCAATGTTTCCAATTCCTGGCAGTGTGACCTTGAACAAATAGCTTAACCTCTGTGGCAGTATCTGCCAAGGGGTGGGGATGGGGAATGAAATGAAGATGCTGCATGGAAGCTGCTTAGCCCAGGCCTGGCCCCTATAAAGCAGGGTGTTTGGTGGTGGGAGCTCCAAGATGGGGAACTCCTGATCAGCCTGACCCATGACCTGAGCCGGAGATGGGCAAGATAAAAGCATGTGGCTGGCCTCAGACAGATGACCTATCTCCAGAATGCCTGGGTCTGATTCCCCTCTCCCTGACGCTTCCCTGGCCTGTCCAGGGAATGGCATAGGCCCCAGAATGCCTGGGTCTGATTCCCCTCTCCCTGACGCTTCCCTGGCCTGTCCAGGGAATGGCAGGGTCTTCTAGGCCTCTGCAGCCTTTGAAGGAGAAGAATCTGGGGCCTTTCTGGGGCAGGAGCGAGTCCTAGGTGAGCTGGGCCCACAGGAGGACTGGGCTCTCCCCTGGCCACTTCAGGTCATCAGCTGAGAAATCTTTAAGCATCCTTGTCCTCTGAGAGGCCCTGAGAGGGGCGAGGGAAAGGAGAGGCGCTCTCACTGAGCTCAGCCCCTCTGCCTCCGCAGCCTCTCTGCTTGCTCCATTCATTCTCATTCCTATAATACTGCTGTGGTTCAGGTCTCCAACTGGACGATAGGAACAGAGAAGAGCATCAGATGGACCCAGCCTTCAAGGAGCATGTGGAATGTGTTGGGGTAGAGGGTAGAAGGACAAATTACCAACACAGCTGAGGGTGGTAGTGGAGAGGGAGGGCTTGAGAGATGAGGTGACATTAGAGAAGAGCCTCGAGGGATGGGTAAGATGTATTGCAGCTCCAGTGGGTTCTGGAAGGGATTTCCAGACAGCAAGGACTACATGAAGGAAGGCAGGGCAGGCAGGGTCAGTCTGGACCAGTGCCACGGTGATGGAATCCCCAGCTGGCCTGGAGGGTGGAGGCCAGGATGTCTTAAAACAGGTGAAAGGGGCAGATCCCTCGTCTCATGGGGAGACAGGGAAGTCTCCCCCACACTTCTCAGTGTCAGAGATTCCAGCGTTAGTGATCGGCAGGAAACACTAGAGCAGAGCCATGAGACGTTGACTGTGACAGGAAGATGAGGGCCCTGACCCCATCTCTGAGGAGCTACCAGCCAGGCCTCAGCACTGCGGCAGGAGCAGAGCAGTGGTGTGGAGGAGGATTGAGGGTGTGTGTCTGGAACATGGGGGAAGCCCCCCTCCCTGTCCCAAGTGGGGCAAACTTTCCTCCTGGCAGAAGTTTGAGGCTGGGGGATTTGACCCATGAGAAGTCTGAGACTCGGGAGAGATGGAAATAAATGCCTGCTGTTCCTTGGGTTCTGCGGCAGAGCTGACCTCAAAGCTAGGCTTACTGACTCCCAGGCCGGGGCTATGTCCCAGGAGGGAAAGTGACCATTCTACAGCTCCTCAGTCTTGCCACACTTCTGCAGCTTCCGTGAGCCAGTGACTCCCTGCCCACCTTCCAAAGCACCAGACCCAATGGTCCCAGCATCTGCCCATCCCCACATCCTTTCGGGGCAACCCACAGTTACCATGTCTGACACTGAATTCCTCCTAACCCTTCCTGCCACCCTGCCCTGAGCCAGCCCTCCTGGCTGCCTCCCTCTCCCGGCACTCAGCAGCCTCCCTGCCAAACAGCTCTGAGTCTCCCCTCACGAGGTCCCCAGGTCTGGCCCCAGCTTAGGCCTCAGCATCACGCCCAGGCCCACACCTCCTCCACAGCCTCCCGTCAGGACATTCAGTCTCTCCTCCACCAGTGGCTTGAGAGAGAGGGTTTCTAGTAAAGGCCACCTCTGAGCCAAGCCTTGAAGCTCATAACACCACAGTGTACCTACTATGTGCCTGGCACCACTTCAGACATTTTACACCAGTTACTCAGCAGTCCTGTAATGGAGATTCTATTCAGCACCTTGTTTTACAGCTGAGGAAACAAAGGCAGTCTGGTTCAGAGGCCAGGTTCTTAATCACTGGAGTTTGCTGTGCTGAAGGGCAAAGAGCTGTGATTGCAACAGGCGGAGAAGAGGGCCATGGGGCCGGCCCCGTGGCGCACTCGGGAGAGTGCGGCGCTTGGGTGTGCAGCGGCGCTCCCGCCGCGGGTTCGGGTCCTATATAAGGATGGCCGGTGCGCTCAGTGGCTGAGCGTGGTGCG